GTATTTCTTCAACACTTTGCCAACTATCAGAGAAACTGAACTTGATTTACTGTAATTATTATTTGTTTGATGCTGCTTCATTTCAAGACTTTTCTTTGTGTAATTTGATATCTGAGGTAGAAAACAATGTTGATGAGGATGATAATTTCTTTTCAAGAACTTTGGTTTTGAAATCTATTGGTTCAAATACTATTGTGGTCGTAAGATTTTATTTCAAATTTTACATTTGTGAAACCTTATAACTATGTATATAAATGAATAGTTTTTGGTGTTCCTTTGTAAAATCTATTTGTTTAAAGCTTTGAATTTATTCATTAGTTCATCATAACCTGTCAATCAGAAATTAGTGCAACATTTACTAATTCTTGTAGTTTAATACACATATATCTGATCCATATTTAATTTTAAATGCAAAAAAATGGCAAATACTGGATTTTTATGTTAAAAAAATGAAATACTGAATTTTCTTAAAACCATTTTACTTCACTTGTTATCACAATTTACGGTACTAGAAGTTTAATTCAGGAACATATGAGTGCCCCCTAGACACGTACCAGCAAAATACACATCTGCTCTTGGCATCGTTTCTGTCTGAAGGTGAGAGCACCATAGCTTTACTGATTAGACCAAACAGTCATATCTCCACTACTTCTGGACTTTTGCCTAATTTACATATATTACTTAATCTAGATATAATTATCTTGTACACTATGTTCCAAGTCTGGTGTCAAGTAAGAAAATACCAGGTGGTCAAACACGGTGTGGGCTTTTAATAGAAGATGATCAGTAAAGATATCCCACTCAGTTTATTTGATAAATACTCCTGTTTTATTTTGACTGTTTAGAGCTGTTTGTCTTAGCGATATGATCGTGGATATTTATTTTCTTTTATTGCATAACCTTTTGGTGTTTATTGACTGTAGATATTATTGTAGCTGCTACCTTGGCATTTTTGCCTGGAAGCCAGAGTGGTGCTTAATATCAATCGCATCGCAGATGCACATCCTAAACATTTTTGCTTTCATTTCTGTAAAATTTAGATACTACCTATGTATAAGGTAACACAGTCAACGTTTTGTTATTATTTAAACGTCATTACATTCTTTAATGTAAATTGAATTCATATTTGATTTTTGGCTTTTGGTATTTGTCAAATTTCCAGTGTTTAGCTTAGAAGGAAATTAGAGTTCCTGCTTTTTTCTAAAAGAAAATATTTTCCTCCTGTCTATATGGTGGAAAGTACTTGTAACCAATACAGCTCATGCGCATAGTTCACTGTAAAAATTTGTACCAAGCCTAGTTCAGGATAGGTGAATTAGATATGACTAGCACATGCCTTTCGTGGTTAATAATTTACAGCTGTACCATGTATAATGTGGCAATTTTCACAGTATTTTATAGTAAAACATGCTTCATCAATAGAACATTATGTTACTGAATTATATCCCACCACAGATCTATAGAGATGTTTTCAACTTTATTACAGTACAGTTTTCTTTTTAACGGAGCTAAATCTCTATTCTTTGAAACTTAAAATGGACGAAAATAGGTCAAAAAGCACATAAAGAATAACAGTCACTTGCGCCAGGTTAGTCCCATCTAGGGTTTGACATTTCACTTAACGCACTGACATATAACCTTGTTCATCAAGGTGGCTCATTACAAATCTTGCTCAAGAGTACAGAGTACACACCAGTATGTACTGGTTTTAAAATTGTTCACTGTGTCTACAATATATGAGATAGGAGCCCATATTGATAGGAATGGACCAGTAATTTGTGTTTGTAATGTCAAAAACTCCCGATAATATTGAGTATATTTATAAGAAATTATAAGACTACTCAAACAGAAGAGTCTGAATGTAATGAAATACTAAAGCCTGGCGCACACTTTGCGAGGACATGGACGATTTTAGTCGCTGACTATGAAAAAAATCAAAATCTAGCCTAGTTTGTGCACTCAGTCGCTAGCAAATTTTCATCACCAGCTTCCATCACTGGCATCTGACATATTTGATATGATCGCTCAAGTCGTCACTTCATCAGCAACATTTGTAATGTGATTACCTCAGCGACAAGTCAAGCGACAACCAAGGAAATAAAATCACATATTAAACCTTCTCATGTGATATAACTACAGACAATGTTTCTTAGAATTTTTTTCATATAAATTAGGCCTTACCGACTAATTGAAATTAAGTTTGCAATTCTGACACTTATTAAATGTGTGAACTCTAAATTTTATTTTGTTAGACTATCAAAAGAAAAGAAACATGTCGAATACGTACGGTAGACCCAGTGAACTGTTCCGTCTATATAGCAATATACCCAATAATAATATAGTCCTAGGATTCATAGATGGTAATTAGAATGGGTGATTTTTTTTTCCAGTACCTGTTGCGGGAAAACGGAGTGTGACAGTCAATGGCTCTCCTGTCCTTATTGGTTGTCTTATCTTGGTTGGTTGTTTGGTAATGAAAGGGCTAATTATATATATTCTGGAATATTTCTGGGCTCATCCTTACATAGCCTGATTTCAATACATACACAAGTCGCCCAATTTGAGCTCGTTACTATAAATAAACGCACTGCGCTCAGTCGGCATTGTACTATGAAGACTACGCTGCTGCCTTATCATCATGTACAAAAATAATATTTATTGAAGTATTTGTCGCACTGACAACGAAAATGCATTTAGAGGTGTCATATGACAAAGCACTTCACAGTTTGTATTTTTTGTGATCCCCAAAGTCGTCGGGTAGAGTGCTCACTCTACTTAAATTGCGGCAATATTTGTCACCGAACTCTCGCTTAAGTTGCTGCGTAGTGTGCGGCAAGCTTTAATAAAGATGAGCATCTAATATTTACAAAATTATAAGACCATAGTACTGCCCTGGCAAAAATAAAATTGACCCAAAATGACACCTTACCATTAGTTGAAACTATGTTTGACTTTGGAGAAAGAGAGAAATCTGGTTTAACTATTACAATTCCTTAAAAAATTGAAAAGGGAGGCTCTGGAGAAAACCCATGAGGTAAGGCAGGCAATCAGACTCCTTGTCATGTACAAGCCTGAGATCAAAACCATGACATATAAATCTATGACACACTTTATGATCTTAATGTGTTGGGTTAGATGCTCAAACACAAAAGTTGGACATTAATCAACTGTATAGTGGTAAAATGAACTGTAAAAGAGTAATGACCAACAGAAGTGACAATTATTTTACTTTATTCATAATTGAGGAGCAGTGGTGGGTATTTGAAGAAATTTGGTATATTGACTTTGTGTCTATTGAAGCTGGGGAATGGAGAATATTTATATAGAAGTAATAAGAGGTATATTTTCATGAAAATAATACACCACATAATGAGATCAAACCATGTAAATGTTCTTCCATTTATGCAGAAATAAATACTATTTAACATTGGTGGCATCTGTACAATAATAACACATAGAGATACTACAAATCTACTGATTATATAATTAGCAGTTTTCTTATCTCACGCTCAGATAAACCCAGATATAGAAGTAATCCAATATATATTTGATTTGAATTAAACTCATAATGCATACTTTAATGTATGAACACCCCCTTAGTTATTACATGTAGATACAGGATTCAAAATATGATTATATAATTCAAAATACAGATTTAATAATTGTATATGCAGCAGTATTTAATTTTGTCAATTAAGGCATATGTTATGTTATGTGTATAAAAAAGTGACATACTAGACAATGCACCTGTGTGTATTTTATTTATATTTTACAGCTTACAATGATGTTATGTGCATAATGATGTTATATACTGGATAATGCACTGGTGTATATTTTTACTTAGTTAAAGGTGTATATTGTACAGTTGTGTATTATTAGTCTACAGAACTCTTGCATATTGATAATACATATATCTTGAAAGACAGTTAGCATACAGAAATTGTTTTAGTGGCAAATTTTTTATGGAAAAGTAGAACTTGGCATATATTGGATTTAATATTTACAGTATGTTGATGTCTTGTTGAACCTTTTATATGTTATGGTATTTTAACTGTCTGACATTATGTCCTAGTGTTCTTTAACTAATCCCTATAGACAGAAACCTAAAACCAAAAGTCACTTTCCTGAACTATAGCTATAAAAGAGAGGTTACCAATATTTGCTTTACCTACAGTTTGATGTGGTGGAATAAATATGAATGATTTATATCTATATCTAAAGTTTTGATTAGCCTAGAATTGATAAAACATGGTTGTTTTATGATTAGATTATTGAATTATGAAAGGAATTACTTTGTGAATTATCATTATTAAATATTACAAATTAAACATATTTTGTTTTTTAAAAAAGAAGATTATAATAATAAGTTAATGCTATTATCTTAAGTATTAATATGTATCATGCTTGATTTGAAGCAGAATAATATTGGCTTTCATTATAGCATATCATTAGCCCTCTCCTCTTATAATTTTATCCCAGCAATAAATGCCAGATTACACTGCTTGTAATAAAAGTAAATAAAATTCCCATTGATACATGTATTCTAATTTAAATTGTCATCTGGTGAAATATTAACTTGCCACATGGTTTATAATGACTCATATATTGACTGAAGGGTACATGTTAATCACTTGAATAATTAATGAACAGTTCTCATCTAATTAGTGCCAGAATTCATTAGATAGCAATTTAAGTTCAGGTTATATGGTTGAGTGTCACTGTTGAGTGTCACTGTTGACATTATTATGCAATGATGTCTACAACAATTTTATTACATATTTATGTCATGAACATAAATTCATTGTAGATGATTTTATAATTGTTTTGCCTAATTAAAATTGGTTGTAATGATGTCTGATTTGAGTAAGATCAATTTTTTAAATGGAAATATACAAGTTTTTTTTTTTGCTTTTACTGATAGAAATATATTCAATATTCTGCCAATATAATACTTTCATGGACAGTTTTGCAGATAAATAAAATTAAGAAAATATTTTTACCTTTAGGAATAAGTTGTTCAACTTCGTTAGACCAATAAATTCCATCTTCAACTACATTACGTATCACATGAGTTTTGTTTGTTATTGATAAAACTGATTTAGTCACTAATTTCACAGGTTTCACTAATGGAACCTCATGAAATTTTAATTTTGGCTTTAGAAAATTTAATTTGGTCTCATTAAAATTATTAAGTATTAATTCTTTGTTATGATTGTTCATCTCCTTGGAATTAGGATAATCATAATCATCTTCATCATCTTCGTCTTCATCTTCAATGTAAGCTTTGTTTATATCAGGTTCATAGTCATAAATGAAATCTTGGCGTTTCTTCTTAACCAATTTCTTTAACTGACTTATTTTATAATCCATTTCAATATTATGCTTCTGTTTTTCCGTGATGTACTGAACAGGGTTGTAAAAAACTTTGTTACTTTTGTGTGGCACATTTTCTTCTTTCATCCCTTGTGGTTTTCTTTCAATTATTTTGGCATTCTGGTAATGTTTTCTAAATTCTTCTGAGTTATCTAAGTCTTCGACAACAAATTTTTGATGCTGTGACAACTTTCTTTGCAATGATCCAGGATTGAGATTTAACTTTCTGGCATTTTCAGGGGAATTCAGCTGCACCACCATCAAATTTAACAGTAACACAAAAAAACAAGAAAATGAAAATATCGAAAAGAAAAGCATTCTCACTTTACGGAATTTAATTCCTCTCATTTCGATGATTTAGATATTTGACAGCTAGGTGACAAATAATATAATAGTTGACACCCATCTGAAAGTAAGTGCCCACCACAACAGATACATTTCGTTTTCAATTGTTTAATTCCTTCCTTCCTCCTTTATGAATTTGTTGAAATTTGTGTCATTGTTATGACTGGTTTTACCTACACATAATCACTGTATATCCCATTGTTATTGTTTGTTATGTACACAACATATACTGCTGGTAGTACTCACTGTAGTAATACACAGTTCAACGTCTGACGATCGACTCATGATGTGTGAGTAGAATAGGGCAGTTAAAGGCTTCTTATGTAGAGAACAGCTTTAGAGTTGTATCTGACAGCTGCTTATAGCCACGAGGCTCAGTGATATTAGATAGAGAACAACCAATTTCTCTTCAATTTCTCAATTTCAACACTAACCACTATAGGTAGCAGAAACTTTTTTAGTCACTTCTGACAGACTTTCACCAAATCCATACATTATAGAAATTAAAGAGCCCAGGAGTTGGCTATCATTAAACACTAAATATACCTTCTGATATTTTGTTGAAAACACTGTAAACTTTCTATTTCATAGTAATTACACAGAAATTATGTTGGATAAATAAAGAAGTGTTAATTTCTACCAATTTCATTCACATTTGTACAATTTTGAGGTTTTAAATGCAAATGTTTAAATTTGAACATATATATTTTTCACTTTTATACTTTTCATCATTCAATGGTAACGACAAGTACACTGTGTCTAATGTACAGGGCAGACATCAAATTTAACAGTTACTGCATCACACACAGGTCCAAACCCAAACACCTGAAAAAGAAGGGAAAAAAATACAGAGTTAATCAACATTAAACTTTCACAACAAATTACATGATACACCATCAGATAATTATGTTTATATTAAAACCTGAATGCACCAGCAGGTTAATAATAGGGCCAGAAAGGTAATCTCTAGATTGTAATCTCAATGATTAATTAAGTAGACGTAATCTTGACTTCAGTATTCAAGGATAGAAATGAGTTATTCTTCATGTGATGGCTGATGTTGTAAGACAGAAAATGATGACATGGAATCAGTAGAAAGTAATGGGAACTTTTGATGGCCATAACTTATGATTGGTCTAATTTGCTTCTTGACAAAACTAAAAGACCTTATTTGCCTCTTAGTCTGGAATATTGTGCCCTTGAAATATTTTTTCAACAATTACCTTAATGACCATACATTTTATCACATGACAGTTTACATAAATTATGTATAATTGAAGAGATTAAGTGTTTGCACTTAACTTTACTATATAGTATTTATTTAATTTTTTTAAAATATGTTCTAACAAATCATATATGTTTTATAGCATATTTAACATTTTAAGTAAACAATTAGGATTCTAATACATCTAAATCAACAGACTGTTATCAGTTAAATTGTCACACCACAACTTATAAATATATATGTGTTACTGAGATCAAACCTTAATAAATTGTGTGAAATAAAAAAAAATGTTCTCAAAATCTTGTTTGAAAAAGGCGACAATATCAACAGGAAAAAGATCAATTCACAGGTCCCACAGAGGATAGAATGTCTCAGCCAGTCATCCCTGTAAACTTGTATTTACGCCTGTTGTTTGCGTTGAATGTTTAGTGTCACAGGTTAAAATAGAGTTTCCTCACTATAACCAGACATGTTGGCCCCACAACACTGTGTTTGCTATATGGTAGAGTACAGTTATGGCCAGCGGGTTATTCTGCAGTTTTCAACTTGAATGCAGATGACATTCTGTTAAAATGGTCGAAATACTTGCAAATTATTTTCATTAAAATGAAACTGAACCAATATTGCATTGAGAATAAATGTAACACTGAATAGACCCTAGTACAGTAGTAGAGTTTATTCATAATAAATGCAAGAAGTTTTTAGATATTTAAGTTGCCTTTAGTTTACCAAAATAATTTCAGTTTTAGATACTAAATATTTGTTATTTTTTTAAATACAATATTATGGTATTAAATGAATGGTTTGGTACACAGAAGGGTTACATCAGTCTAACATATTTGGTACTTCTGTCGATAGAGAGAAATGGGGTTTAACATCCACTTTACTAGGTCATTTCGGGACAAACAATTATATTTCAATAATTTTGCTTGCGCATTGGGGACTTCAGCAGTGGAAGGAAACCAGAGGACCTAAAACCCATGAGTTTGGACAGGCGACCCTACTCCTTGTCACATTCAAGCAGGGAATCAAACCATGCCCACTTGACTAAAGTACAGGCCTTGTGATTTCACGCGAATGCATTAAACCACAATACCATGCACCCCCCCCCCCCCCTCCCATGTGTCGATAGTTAGCCTCACAACCTTTTATCCCATCTTGCTATTTTTAAATTAGATCTATTTCTTCGTCTATGTCTTTCATGTTCAGAATTAGGCCACTTTACGATTTTAGCAATCAATTGGAGAATACAGGATAACCGTATAATAAAAAGAGAAAGAACAAACAATACAGAACACAACCATAGACATCCTTATACTAAGTACAATAACACTGTTCACAATACCAGGAAAAGTTTCAAGAACGATTATTGAATAGCGATTGCAAGCGGTGCAAATTTTATCAAGGTCTGGAATGGTTCGGAGAACGGAATGCTCATTGCATACAAGTGTAAACACAGCTATTGATGCAGCCAAGAGGAGAGACATGTTCATGACCTCAAAGATTTGGGCCAATTATAAAAGTAAATACTTATTCTAAATTATTAGTTTCTAGACTGATAAACTAATTTACCTCTTAAAGAAGTGGCTTTAAAAGTTTAACATAAATATGCACCAATAAAGTAACTTACCTCTGAAGTATATATTAAAAATCTGCCGTACATGTAATGTATGAACATGAATTAACTTTCAACTTGTAAATTTATCCCACATGTATTCCGATATCTAGTTATACTTACATTTATCAGATCAATTCATGATAAAATGGAAGTCCACAGCTTGTTTCTTGTACATTATAGACATGTCACAAAAATATGGAGTGTATAGAGTTGATAATAGCTTTTTGAAATGGATTTTCTAGTACAAAGCATAACTACATGCCTTTTCAATAGAGGATTAAGATTGGTGAAATTGTGCACAGCTAGTAAAATACCTAACAAAACAACTCCAAACACTCAATACAGAGATATTTTGTTAATATTTTGACATAAAAAGAAGTTAAATTCTCTGTCAAAATTGTATGTAGGGGTCCATATTTCTTGAAATTTACAGATTTAATGACTAATTTAAAAGATGACTATATAAGGGTAACCTAACAACCTGATGCAAGGTAAATAAAAAAGTTCCAGAACTCCTCCATGCCCAAGTGCTTCAGATTTCTTAAAAAATAACAAGAAAAACAAACAGCCCAAACACTTTATCAGTTACATGGGTTACACATTGTTGATTGCTTAGATTCGAAAGAGAGGTGGGGTTTAATGTCCACTCGACACAAACTACGTTATTTTGGGACTAGCATATGGTTCCATTTTTTTTCATTAATTCGCTCCTGCGTAGGGGTCTTCAACAGTGGGACAAAACCAGAAAACTCAAGAGGTTGGACAGGCGACCCTATCCTCTTTGTCATGTACAGGCTTTAGATGAAAACCACATCGCTTGACTCAATGACAAATCTTATGATCTAAAGTGCACCCTCACCCCCATTCGGCAGAGACACATTAGGCTATTTCTTGTCAAAACTTCAAACAGTCATTAATTTGACTGAAATTTTCAATGTATTCATTTTTCGTTATCTGTTTTTGAAATATAGGCTAATAGAAAGAGCAGCCAGCTCTTTATCTAAATCCTACATAATGCCTCTTTAAGATTTTATTATTGCATTAGTTGCAAATTAATGTTTCAATGATATTAAAAGTTTACATGCCTTCAAGAAACCTGACAACTATGTTCTAAAGCTAAAATCTATAAATCTGTCTTAACTTATTCAATATAATATTATTGATTTTATATATGTATTACTTACAACTCAGAGATCATACTCCACTAAAGAGCATTAGATAGCTTAATTTGAACATGCATTATCCTTCTTCAGGCATCCATGTTAATCCAAATCTGTTAAGTCTTTGAAAGAAGTATGTAAAAGTTGCACCAAGTGATATTTACCTAATGTACTGTTTAGTTAGTCCAAACAAGGAGAAACGAGACAGTTTAAAACTAAACGCAATATATAATCCAATCTCTTGTTGTAAAACTACATCCAATGTACAACTATTCTACAGTCAGTTGTTCACAAAAGCTGTGAATAGAATGTGTTATCTAAATAAATGGGTAAATGTTGTATGTTCATGTAACATGCTATCTGTCCAATATCACATGCTATGTCCATGTGCTCAGTCAGGGATGGTTTTTCTATTACCTCACAATAGAGGGCAACATATTTCAATCTCTCCCTTCTGTTCTAGCTCCAGGGGGTTGTATAGTCTTTCGAATTGAAATCTGGCTTTCCTTTGTCCCAAGTCTATTATAAATTTTTAAATAGAAGTCCACATTTTATTTTCTACTCCTACTGAACACCCATAATTCTAACTCGTATTTTAGGATTGTATCAAATTCATGATCTCTGAACTTGAATTGATAAAAAGTGAACAAGCAAGTTTTTTGCTTCACAGATGTTTTTTCAATTACAATTTTTCAAAATGCCTAAGCAGGCAAATTTATTATAAAGGATACAGTCTTGTACATTTGATAAATAACAGTTGCGATAAGATAAAAAGTGTCCCTTGCCCAATAAATTTTTAACACCTCTTATCACAAATGCACTTAATGTGAACTTTTTCACATCTTGTTGGCAAGAAAACGTGTCCTGTGCAACACTAAAATGATAAAAGACCCAAATAAGGGCAAGTTAAAGGGATACTCCAAACACATTTTGGGTATCATTTACAATTGTTCTGCAGTTCATACCCTAAATATTTGGCCAGGACAGCAGCATTTTTGCATAATTTTCAATTAATTCACAATGAATATGTTATATTCTTATTCCATACAATTTCGAACACAGATCACACAGACAATTGTATATGGGCTATCTTTCTGTAGTTTTTCTTGAACTATTGAGAATATTGGGTTAATAACCAAACAAGTGCTCCAACAGCCACAGTCAGAGATTTTTGTTAAGTACACATGTATATATGCAACAAAAGTAATGCACTACACATGCCACATGTGTTAGTCCCGAAATGACCTAGTTTGTGTCGGGTGGACATTAAACCCCATTTCTCCTTTTTTTTTTTTCACTCATTAATCACTAAGCTTTGATAATGCAGTTAAGTCTATGGGGATAAGAGAAATCTGTAGAGTAGCCTACTAATTAGAGATAAAGATATAATGAATGTTAAGATAGAGTTCAATTCCAGATTGTAAAAGGATTTTGTTTTATTTCTGAAGATTTATTTGTTTACTGCTTAATTTCAAAATGGTTGTATAGTGCGGTTTCCTCCATTTCATCTGTTGTTCACAATTTCTTGTGAACACTACTACATGTATCATATGATCATTTTAAAAATGTTTTATATATATGTTGTTTACGTATTAGTGATCCAATGAATCCTATTGAATCTCAACAATTTCCATTTGTTGAACCTTGTGAACACTCGGTTGATGAAAAATATCCTCTGATCTGTATGAAATTTATGTGCATCATTTCAATTAGTAAAACAAAAAAAGATCATATTGAATTTCAACAATATCCATTAATTTCTTCTTGAGTTATGGCCCTTGTTTCACTTTGCTGCACCTTGTGAATGCTCTAACGACAAAAG